TCGTTGGGAGGGCCCCCCTCCCCTCGGTCCGCCACTGATTTATATATATTAGGTTGGTCCGAAAGTTTTGTCAGTTTTTCCAATTTATCGGCAAATACGCTAATGAAGGTAAACAAGCGCTTCAAAATATTGAGTCATTGTCCCGAAAGTTCTGTCGTTTCATTTCAAAAATTTGTAACTTTTTGCTATCTTGACGGATTTGCTTCTCTTTAATTTCATATGAAAGAAGAAGTCTACTTTTTTGTAACAAGTCCTCAAAGATCTTCAGCTATACATTCAATGTAGAAATAAAAATGGAAGAAGAAGACCACTTAAGTTCTGACCATTTTAAGTTAGGTCGCCAAAAGTATGGAACGCTGCAGAAAAATCTGAAATTGCCAAAACATGAATTCTATGGCCTACTCTTTACATCCGAGAAAAAAACTGTGTTATTTGGACGTTTCAGTGAAAAGTTATGATTTTTGAGAAAAGTGAACTCAATCAATTTTGGCGTTTTCTATTGTAAACTTGGGAATCATAACGTTTCATTGAAACGTCCAAACAGCACAATTTTTTTCTCATGTACAGAGTAGGTCATGCATTTATGTGTTGACAATTTCAGATTTTTCGCACCGTTCCAGACGTTTGGCGATCTAACTCAAAATGGTCAAAATTCAAGTGGTCTTCGTCTATTTTTACCTCTACAATGATTGTGTAGTTGAAGCTTACTGGGACATTCCTTCAAAGAGGAAGACTTCTTTTCTTAAAAACTTAGAGAGAAGCAAATCCGTTGAAACAGCAAAAAGTTACATTTTTCTGAAACGACAACTTTTGGGACAACCCAACATATCCAATGCAGAATTTCTTCCTCTTTCCAGCTGCTAAACTCCTATTGCGTTTCGTTGCGAGAGTGACGAGATATTTGCTGGAAATTACAACCACTCGTTTTTACCATGTCCAACTTCCGCTAATTTTCAAAATTTTTGTATGAGGTTTCGGAGGAGCCCTAATAACCAGCAGGTAGGACAAACCTTTTGCCATAACTCAGATAATCTCCGGGGCAGGCGGCCATGAGAATTATGGGCGGGCGGGCACCGGAAAAATAGTTCGCTGATTTCTTGCGGTCCGCTTGCAGATATTTGAAAGAATTTTAGCGAAATTTCAGACGAATGCTTGAAGAACAATCGCGGTTTCCTTATAGATTAGCTGCGGACCGTGCGGCCCTCGAAAATTTTGCATACTCTCCGCGAGAATATGCAAAAATTTCGAGGGCCGCACGGTCCTTTGTGGAGGGCCGCGCAGCCCCCAGGTACTTTCCGCTGAGAGAAAGTACCTCAAACTTAAGTAATTAAACCATCGATGACACCTCTGCCATGTAGAGTCTCACTTTTCCTCGGCGTACGCCCGAAATTGCTTAAAAACCGTTCGAGCGCAAGCTGAAAATTTGACCAGCGCTCGCTGAAAGAGATTATTTGACGAGCGCCCGCAGAAAATTCTGTGTTGCTGCTCGCTGGCAGAACATTAGACGTAAAGGAAGTATCGCTCGCTGAAGGTTTGGCCACGCCCCGAAATCCTGCTGGCTTTGCAGAAAAGCGCGAGTTTGCGGACCGCCTGCCCCCGGCGATTATTTGAGAAGAAGCAATTCTTTGTGGCACTACGACTTGGCTTCCAGAATTTCTACGAATTATTCTTTGAAGTGACCAAATTTTACATTCAGCCTATTTTACCCTCGTAGAACATAAAATGTTAGACACTTCAGTCAGCATTCAATATAAATTTTTCCTCTTTTCAACACTTGTCTTTTTTTGCCGGGACAGGCTAAATTTGTGGGATAAATCGCTATTTCTCAATTTCAGGAGTGCGCACTAATGTAACTTATGTTTCAAAAATTTCATAATTTGAAGCGAAAATTGCTCATTTACTTTGTAATGGTAACGGTAGTAATAATGGTGTGGTGAAACCTCAGTTTTCTGTAGGTTTTGCAGTGTTTGGTGCAATAACAGGTTAGGCGATTTTTCCACAAGACTTTTAGAAAATCCTTTAGCAAAAATCTGAAAAAGCAGCTAAAAAAAGAAATTTGCCTTAGTTGGCAAAAGGTTTGTCCTACCTGGTTATTAGGGCTCCTCCGAAAGTCTCATACAAAAATTTTGAAAATTAGCGAAAGTTGGACATGTTAACACATTGAAGGCAATGTGACCCACATGGTGGGTCATGCAATGACTGTGGTTCCAAAAGTTCTGTTATGCTTTATTCTTAGGAATTACTTCCGCGTTTCTTAGCTGCTTCTCAAAATCACTGTAGGGATACTGCAGATGACGGCCTGCTTGATTTCAGCTAAAAATACTCAGCTTACTGCGAAAGGCACTGTCCCACAAGGCAGACAGCTAAAAATGCACGCTGTCGTCAACGTGTTGTAAAAGAGTGGTTGTGATTTCCAGCAAATATCTCGTCACTTTTGCAACGAAACACAATGGAGTTTAGCAGCTGGAAAGAGAGAAATTCGCATTCGATACGTTTTAGAGCGTTTATTTATCTTCATTCTAGCGTGTTTGACGATTGTAAACTGACAAAACTTTCGGACCAACCTAATATGTTTATTTATTTATATTTGCACTCACAAGTGCGCCACATGAAGAACGCAAAACAGCACAAATTGGTAGGCATAAAAATAGTCTCAGCAGAATGACTTGTGAGATCAGTCTCTTGCAAAGGTAATCAGGTCGTTCTCTTTCTGCAAAACGTGAAAAACCATTCCTTTTTTCTATCCAGACGCAGTGATGACGAGCTAGAAAAGGGCTCTCGGATTACCAGTTTAACCCGGCGGACCAAGTTCACTATTGATCCTGGGCGTAAGGACAATGGGATATCTCTAGCTAGAAGAGTTACTGAACCTTAGAATTCTTGAACGGCTATTCCTTCTGAAGAGATCATGACGTTCTCTGCGGAATCAAACCGAGAAAAGCATGTTAAATGTAAACAGAAAAAAGGAAAGCTACGAGGAAGACAAAAATCACTCAAAAATTACAAAAATGGGATTGAACTTACCTCCATGGGTAACTGGGATAACAGAGAATAATTGTAGGCACAGCTTATTCTCGATTGTAATCTATAGAGTGGTAGACATCAGCAATGTTCAGTGCTCCCAAGAAATATTAATTTGTGGCAATCTCTCACGGAAAAGCATGAAATTCTCACTGTCAGTAATTCTCTTTAGCAAAAAGTGATCCACTTTGTGGTACGGCAAACGAATGAACTGAACGCAATAGAAACATCTCTGTTATACAGTTTGCGGTAAAACACACTTGGCCTCTCTCTACGAGCTTCAAGCCTGCATCCAGTACTTGCTTGGTTTAAAGGCAGTGTCCGGACTGGTTGGGATTTCAGAATTTCATTGTTGCACAAAACTAGCCCCTTGACATACCCCCCCCCCCTCTAATCGCGAGCACATCCCGTGGATACGGAAGCGAGGAAAATGCTCCGGAAGTTGGAAGAGCCACGCCACTCGGATGACCCCGCCACCGAATCGATTAGCTAGAGTGCGCATTTCGCACACAGTCAAGACGTAGGGTTCCACCAAGACTCTGCGTCTTAACCTCGGCGGCAGGCGGTCTAAATTCAAAACCAGGCGCTTCTGGAATAGCCGATTTTCAACATTTTCGTAACCTGCAAGCTGCCTTTCCGGAATCAGCGGAAAGGATAAGCCAAGGTGAGCGAGAGAAATTCTGTCCGAAATTTTGCCCAGACACTGCCTTCGAGTCTCATTTCCAGGCGTATAACTCGAAGACATAGTACGAAATCGTTTGAGAAAACTTCTGTACTTTAAGTTCGCAAATGTAAGGTTGATAGTCTCTTTCTAACAAGGGTAGAGACTGTGGATAGTTAGCGTCAGCAAAACATCTGCAGAACACAATTCCAGTGAAATTTATCTGAACTTTGTAAAAGTTTTGATGCCCTTCTTTGGAAATAGATTCCAGACAGGTAGGCATCTTCTGATTGCGGTAGAACACAGGTTTTATGCAGCCTGACTAACAGCGCTGGGTCATTTGAATGAATGTTGCGCAAATCTAGAAAAAACTTCATAGAGCTTTTTGGTTACCGCATTGTAGTGCTGTATTATCTTAGGTAATTATCCTAATCCAGGATCTCTGGTGGTGTTGCAGCAACTGAGAATAACACCTTTCACAGTCGCAAAGTGGAACTGCGAACTACCAAAATGCATCATTTTTGATTTGAGGGCGTTGACAGGGAGATTTCAATTTTTAGACCATATCGTCATCTTTCCTATCGATGCAGAAATAGCCCTGGACGCTTCAGAATTTTAAAAGATGCTCTTGCATTCAAAGCAAAGAAGGCAGCTGGAAAGCCCAAACATTCCGCACTAGGGGCCTTCATGTTTATTGTCAAACTGTTCTAATATTATACAGCGGTTGAAGTCATAAATGTGTTCAGTTTGCGATGACTTAACTATCGTCGCGTCCATGCTACAGGCTGTGGCTTGACGAAGACGCAGTATCCTTGGGCGCGAACGCAACACCAAGAGCTTTCCTTTCCAAAGTTATCGACTTCTAGTAACAAAAACTTCTCACCAGGTATTGCCGGGATTCACTGAAAAAAAAAGAATACCCCTTGATTAAACAGCAAATCCTATCAATTTTCTGCCAATCTGTAAGATGTGCCACCTGGCTCAAAAAAGAATTTCTGAGTATTTCATTGTTAGTTTGAAAAGTGAAATGCAGTGCACTCGGACTGCTGGATGATTTCTGGAAATGTGCAGATAGGCTAGGGCGATGAATTTCTAGACTAAATTACAAATCTCCTGAACAAGCTATGTCGGTATTTGACGATTTATACCTGTAGCTGAACATGTAGTGCAATAGCACTTTGAGTCGACCTTTGATTTTCTAAGCTGAAACTATGAAAATGTAGTTTCCTTAGCAAATTTTTTACCCTCTCTATATCTTCGAATTTTCAATATGTGAAACATGTGCGTTTTCACAAACAGTTATCATGCTTGAATTCAGACTTACAACATTACGACAAACTACATTGAAGCGACTGATATCGCAGGCAAGAGATTACTTTGAGGACACTATCAAAGTCGAGCGAGTACGAAAGCTTCAACTTTGGCCGTAAGTCTTATTTCCACCATGCAGCTAGCAATAAATGAAACCTTTTGTGACCTGGCATTATGACAAAGCATCCCTCTTTTCAGCGTAAGATATGCGAGCGTTCATGCGGGTTGAAATGAAACGACATTTTTAAAGCTTGGGGTGATAGTAACTCAATCGAAACCATCACAAAGCTCAACAAATCTTTCATTACTAGAGACAACTAACAACTTCACATCATCTTCTCAATGAAACCTCGAGTTAATCAGTTAGAAAGAAAATAGATAGGCAAATATTTATTCGATTCTAGATTTACAATCATTCTCGTGCTTGGCCGCCTTCAGTGCACTTTAACGAATATAGGTCGCCCCGAAAGTTCTTGCGCACGATTTTCAAAAATCCATAACTTCCGATTTTTCCATCCGATTTTACTGTTTCTATTTTTTTATGAAAGAGCAAGTCTGCTCTTTATAATGACATCTTAGATGTTTACTAATGATCATCCGTTGCATAGATATAAGCGATAGAATAGAATTGGTCAAAATTCGAATTTTCCGTGTAGGATCATAAAAAAATCGGAAACCTGCAACAAAATCGGATCATTCAGTATTGTAGGTTTTTTCACCAGCTCTCTTTCTAATGGTGCAAAGTTTGCGCTGATTGAGCGTCTTTATCAAAAGTCATGAATTTTAAGCAAGCAATACAAAAGGGCGAATTTGATTTATTTTGGCATTTTCAGGGTAATCATAACTTTTTACAGAGATGTTAAATCAGCACCTTTGCACCATTATAAAGAGCTGGTGTAGGAACGTATAATACTGACTGCTCCGATTTTTGTACCAAGTTTCCGATTTTTTATGACCCTACACAGAAAATTCAAATTTTGACCAATTCTATTCTATCGCTCCTTTCTATGCAACAGATGATCGTTAGTAAGCATCTAGGATGTCTTTGTAAAGAGCATGACTTACTCTTTCATACAAAAATAAAAGCAATCAAATCGGCTGGAAAAATCAATTACTGGATTTTTGAAAATCGTGCGCAAGAACTTTTGGATGATCTAATAGTAACTTTATGTATAAAAAACCTACATGAGAACTCAATTGTTTTGGTTTCGCATACTATCTGTTGGAAAATTTGCTTCTACTTGTACCGCATAGTCTCGGACACCTCTAAGAATAGTAGGCTGGGTTCATACTGATTCCCATGTTCTGGAACTGTTCCCGCACAGTTCTCGCACTGTGCTGGAACTGTGCGGGAACTGTGCGGGAACAGTTCCAGAACTGTGCTGCATGCGCTGCAGCCGCCCCGCACCGTTCTAAACGGCGGGAGTTGGAGAATTTTGACCGTTCTCAACGGTTTTTCTTCCAGATTTCGCTCATTTTAGCCTTATTCCTCCACCCCGCTTCCCTTTTTGATCAGCAGAACTTCGAACTTGAAGCGGGGTTGAAGAATGAGCGCTTTTCTGCGCCGTGTATTCGGAAAGATGGGCTATCGTGCCATTATTCATTCTGTCTTCGTGTTTTTTACTCAAAACTACTTCATTTGTTCCAGGAAGCGGCTGCCTAGTTTCCATAGCCATCTGCCACGGATTAGGGAGTAAGAGAAATCCTGAAATTGCATGGGTTGGGACTTGTCTGTTGTTTTTCATAATTTTGGCCGTTCTTAGCCTTGTTCGTTTTTCATGTCGTTGCTTCTCCATTCTTTCTTCTACCCCCGCTTTTCCTAGTGATGAGAAAAGCTGTGAATTTGAAGCGGGGTTGATTGAACGCTGTTCTGCTCCATGTATCCGGGAATATGGGCCTTCGTGCGCTCTTCCGTTCTCTCATCGCTATTTTTGTTCAGACCTACTTCATGCGTACTAATAACGCTGCGTAGTCTCGCATCTGTATTGAAATTGAAATAGACAAGTCTCTAGAACACATGAAGTAGGCCTGAACAAAAATGGCAGAGAAGATGGACGAGCGCACGAAGTCCATTTTCCCGGATACATGAAGCAGAACAGCGTTCAATTCTCAACCCCGCTTCAAAATCACAGCTTTTCTCATCACTAGGAGAAGCGGGGTAGAAGAAAGAATGGAGAAGCAATGACATGAAAAAACGAACAAGGCTAAGAACGCCCAAAATTATGAAAAACAACAGACAAGTCCCAACCCATGCAATTTCAATATTTCTCCTACTCCCTAATCCGTGGCAGATGGCATGGAAACTAGGCAGCCGCTTCCTGGAGCAAATGAGTTTGTTTTGAGCTAAAATCACGAAGAGAGAATGGACGAGCGCATAACAGCCCATCTATCCGGATACATGGAGCAGAACAGCGTTCAATCCTCAACCCCGCTTTAAATTCACAGCTTTTCTCATCACTAGGAGAAGCGGGGTAGAAGAAAGAATGGAGAAGCAACGACATGAAAAAACGAACAAGGCTAAGAACGCCCAAAATTATGAAAAACAACGGACAAGTCCCAACCCATGCAATTTCAGGATTTCTCCTACTCCCTGATTCGTGGCAGATGGCTATGAAAACTAGGCAGCCGCTTCCTGGAACAAATGAAGTAGTTTTGAGCAAAAAACACGAAGACAGAATGAACAATCGCACGATAGCCCATCTTTCCGAATACACGGCGCAGAAAAGCGCTCATTCTTCAACCCCGCTTCGAGTTCGAAGTTCTGCTGATCAAAAATGGAAGCGGGGTGGAGGAATAAGGCTAAAATGAGCGAAATCTGGAAGAAAAACCGTTGAGAACGGTCAAAATTCTCCAACTCCCGCCGTTCAGAACGGTGCGGGGCGGCTGCAGCGCATGCAGCACAGTTCTGGAACTGTTCCCGCACAGTTCCCGCACAGTTCCAGCACAGCGCGAGAACTGTGCGGGAACAGTTCCAGAACATGGGAATCAGTATGAACCCAGCCGTAGCTTTAATAGTAGTTGGATACGAATAAGAACTGACAGCGACTACAAGATAATAATAATCCATGTCGGCGATTTGTACATGGCTTCCATCTCCCGATCCAAGAGAGCGATCAGAGATGGTGTGATAGTCTGAACTCACTGATCAAACGTTCAAGGACGTATTGATCGTCCAAGAAACATCTTTGCCAGCGAGCGATTCTCAGTTGAAGAAGGGCGGGGAGTACAGCGATAGCGTAGCAGCTTCGACAACTCTTCCGGAAGGTTCCCTTCTTCTTGCAGCTTCACACCTTCAGCAAGCGCATTCGAGTGCGAGTGGAATGACGGGTAGGATATGCTCCATGCTGTACTTCCCATAGAAATCCTTGAAATACTGAGAAGAGCATTGTGTGCCGTTATCAAAATAAGCTTTTCCGGGTATCCATATCTGCTAAAGATCTTCGGAAGTTCTTGCGTGGTAGCTGGTGAAGTATTCGCTTGTACTTCCACGATTGCAAACCAGCGGGGGTACGCATCCACGACGATAAGATACATGTTGCATTAAACGGTCCTGCAAAATCTATATGCAGGCGTTATCGGTCGACTTGCTATCGGCCATGACGTCAGTTTAGCTTTCTTTCTTACGGCAAGTGGGCAATTCTGGCAACGTTTCACAGTTTTTCTTCCGTACCAGGCCAGTAGACATAGTTGCTTGAGCAGCTTCATCCAAATTTGACCAGGGTGTCGATTGTGCAGCGATTTTCTTTTCGCAGAATTTTCTTCTTCAGCGGAGTGGATATGACAATCTTGGTCTAAGGAAAATGCATATGTTGCAGATGGAAAGTTTTTTGTTAGTTTTTATAGTTGAACGAAGGGTTCCGGAAAGGGCATTCGGCCATTGTGCTATTTAGACGGTTGAACAGCTCCATCAACATGACCCTCTGGCCTTCTTCTGGCAAACCTACTTTTTTAATAAGGGAAGTGCCAGAAGTCGTGGCCTTTTGACATGAGATAGTTGTCATCTAAATTAGCTTGAAACGCTGATTCCAAAACAGTTTTTTAGCTGGAGAACGAATCTGGGACGGGAGTTATTAAATTCAATTTGCAGAAAATTCACAACGCAGGGTGCTGCCAAAGGTATTAGGCTCATGTATTTTGGACGTAAACTCAGATGAAACAGTTTACCAGTGCTTATTGTATTTCTACTCCTGCTTTAATGTTATGCTGCAGTGCTTAACAAGCGTTTGAATGAATTTCATGATTATAGCGTATCTTTAAGCAGCGTGAATTTTTGTGGTTGAAATGCCCATAACTCCAGAACCATACTCGTTTTGCAGCTAAAGAAGGCTGTTTTAAAATCAGCGTTTCAAGCTGCTTCAGATGGTATCATTTATTTCAAAAGTCCACTGCAACTTCTGAGACTTTCCTTGTAAGTTTGAGTGCATCTTCGTAAGTGGCGGTTACAGGGCTCGGCACAGGTGGCTTACAAGCAAGCTGGATATCGTTTTTGGGACAAAAAGCAAAGGGGGTTTCGTTTTTGTGGAGTAAGACACGCAAAATTTGCGGCGTTTTTTTTTAGTCGAGGTTTCGTTTTTTGGAGGATTTTTAGGGAATTAGTGCGGGGCAAAGGGGACTTCGTAAAAATACCCAAAAGTCAAGGGGGACTTCGTTTTTTGCATTTTCATCTAGCCACTTCTTGCCGAGCCCTGGGCGGTCATATCAACTTCTAGTGTAACATCGATGACGTCATCGTGTGGCGCCCCCCTGCAGGAAAGCAATCAGGAGAAAGCATCGGCCTGTACAAACAATGGCGTAGAGCAGAACCTGCTGTCGAAATTATAGGTAAACTAGCTGGCTTGCCCGGCTCCGCTCGGCCCTGTCAAAACACTATGATAAAGCTCCCATCCCTATCCCTGTACAATCTTTCCCTGGGCCCATTTCTACCTACCAACTCTAACTTCCTGTTCCCGCTGTTTTAGGGCCGCATGCAAAAACCTCCTCGCTGGGAAGGGGATCGCAGCTTAAAAGAAAGCTTTATATTGCGAAACTCCAGATACCTGGATTTCACGTTGTATACCCATCCGTAAGTATTTTTTTCCTACTATCCTTCACTATGAACATGTTGAACGGGAGCGA